ACTAGTTTGCAGAACATGTTTTTGTAACTTACCTCTCAAAAAACAGTAGGAAGTGAATCTCGCAAAATAATTAATTGACACGTAGCGGGTTCACAGTCTTGTGTGGTTGAGCTGCAAAATAAAATATGGGCATTGTGTTTACAGAGGATTCTTGATAGTAAGTTTATTTGTAATACACGTATCAAGAACTTGGGTTATATCGTGAAAAAATAATTATCCTAAATAAGAGAATTAAAAAGACTATTTGCAGCAGAACACTATGATTCGACAATTGATATGCTCTCTTTGACCATCAATATCTCCAATAATTTATTGAAAGGAATTTGCGAACCGTCTCTCACTGTAAAAATTGTAGATTTGAATAGTGACTATACAGAATACTAATATACCCCAGTTATGTCATGAAGTTAGATCTAAAGACCATGGAAATCGTCACCAAGGTTACAAAAAGGCCGAGTGTTAGTGGCGACACATGATCTCAATTTTTGCGTAGCATATTTCTTCCCGGATTTGGCAAGCCATGAACACATTTTGGTTATATTGACATTCTTCAAAAATACTCGTATTAGACGGACAGGCCAAGCGTTATCTGTCATTGGTAAAGATTAATAGTGGTTTATTAACGAGATTGCGTAATTGCCAAGCAAACTTAGTTAGATCGCGCGAAAATTTAACTCGTTAAAAGATGCAACTTGAAAACACACCATCCGAGTGGTAGAAACGTCAAACATGATAAGCATAATAATATCAATGCATTCTGTTGTTTATTTAAATTAATAGTTTTATGAGTCAAAATAATGATATGGATTAATGTTGGATAAAAACTATTTTATAAATCTATGTTTTCCATATTAAGGTTTACGACTTTTTCTTCTTATCGGACGCGGTGCACACGTTCCTTGTCCGATTGCCCTATATTTTTTTAGCTCCTAATCCGCTGGTTTTCCTCTTTTGCTCACGCAATTCAGCCATTCTCTACAATAAATTCACAATCATTAGTCTATCGATTGATTACCAAGTCATTTGGACGATTATATTATATCGTTCATACCTGACGTCTCTCTTCTCGACGTTTATGCAATTCAGCAGCTTTTTCTTCTTTTGCAACCACATTTGTTGACGTTGATTGTGAGGATAACGAGGATTTTTGAGATGATGGCTTTGCAGTCCAGTCATTATCCCAACCATCCTCGCCGTTACCCCACCCCGAATCATCCAAGTCCCAACCATCCGTCTGATAAGCAACTACAAGACAAAAGTGAAGCGTAGAATGTTTGATCAGTTTTTACGTCGACAAAGAACATGTACAAAAAACCTTTATAGTACATAGTTCGGCGATCTTACTTCGAGAAGTTCCACCAAGTTTCATCAGTGAAGCAGTAGCGGATACACCAAGCTTCATGCCAACACTAGATTGGCCTGCCATGTTTAAGAGTGTGTCATTGAGATAAACGAAATACCATATAGCAAATAAGCTTTGATAGACATATTAATTATGTTATACTTACTCTCGTCCTTCTTTCCGCCAACTTCAATCGAATCATCACCACCCCAGCCATCCGAAGCATCACCACTAGCATTATCCGCAAACGACAATCTTAATGAACTGGTACTGGTGGCAGGCGACGTGTCATTCTTTCCGGAACGAATTCCCAAAGAAGAATCATTGGAAGGTGATTGGTTATTTGACGACCTATCTGGTGGTGCAAGATCTCCCTCACCAGCGAGCTTTTCTTATGATAGACAAATGTTGACAGATGAGCACAAGGGAGTAAATGCGTTGTAGAAGCTGTAGATCAATTTCATCAGAATAATTTACCTTTTTAGTGAGCGAAGTCACTGCCCAACCACCCCAACTCTCCGCGACCGTTGCTACAGCACCAGCCACTACAGATACACCACCGGTGGCTGATAGCGTATTCTGAGCCGTGCCATTAGACTGTTGTGGTAGAGTCGCACTATCCGGCTTTATCGTGAATGAAAGCAGTGCTCATGATCAATAATTGTTGATAGTATATCACCTTTTTCCAACACTAGAGATACTCTTAATTACCATTGCTTCTGTTAACTTCTCTAATCTCTTGACGAACATGTCTAGTGTTTTGAATGCTTGTGTGCGTACTTGCCTATTTATTGGATAGCGTTCATTAGCATATTAAAATATCAGTAAGAGCATCTTCTTGTACTATTTACATACTTTTCCTTGTCTATTAAAGCTGTAGAGACACAGGGCACTATTTTCGTTGCACACTCGGATGCATCATAGTATTGTAAAGTGGCTAGTAACAAGGCCGTGATTAGTAGAGTCAATATACAACGAGAATTTGGTATTGGATATATGTGTGTGTGTATACCTGCTAATGCCATTAAGCTGGCAACCCTGGCATGCGGAAATGGATCCCTTAGGGCGCGAGTGAATGCAAGGACAAGTACTTTTTTCTTTGTCTGTCGATGAAATTGGTTCAGCATACATTTCTAGCAGCAAGGCCGCAGTCTTTAAAACAGATGCTATCTGACGTACACTTTCGTTGAAATGTTTGCTAATCTTTCCAAGACATATTGTAGTGTTGGTGCGAATACCCGGCTCATCATCAGTCTGCAGTTTGGCAAGATATCTGAGCAGATCGTTGTTCAATATACGATCTGACAGCTGCAGTTAACGTAATGTGTAGTTAGTATTCTGATATATATATAACCCTATGCTTAATTACACTTGTCGTGTTGGACTAACTTTTGGTGCGAGTAATAAGACAGACTTGACGGTACTTTCTCGAATGATGGGTGCTGTGTCGGTAAAGCCCGTTGCCTGCAATTAGATGATTCGTTCGATCAGTAGTCAACAGCAATTTCCAAAAGACGACGCGTTTGTACTTACCATGTGAGAAAAAATCTTATCATTTATAACTTTTTCGCTCAGATTATCAATAAAAATGGAAAAGTTTTCCAGCAGACTCAAACGTATTGTTCGGTCAGGCATAGCAAAGAGCTTTACTAGCAGTGTTACTATTGTGTTCTCGTATTCCTCTTCATTAAGAAATGACCCAATTTTAATTATTGGATCTAGAACTTTAGCACCACCTGTGAAATGATTAGAGGAAACCGAAATGAATATTACACACTTGGAGGAGATGTGCATCCAGAGTACGCGCATTTTACCTGATCCGTATTCGACAGAGTGTATGAGCTCGGGTAATATTTTATACTTGCAAAAGTCGCGATGAATATTATCTAATGAAGAATTTAATTTTCTATGTGGATTGTCAGACAATCACTTGCTGGTATTAAATAATTGACATGGTGCATCCTATCGTGCCAAATGACTCACTTGATAAATGCTTCCTTTTCTCTATCGTCTTTGATGCTCATATTTTCGAGGAATAGAGCAGTCTGAATAAAATCGTCCTGGAAGAATCCCTCGTCGCTTAAACCATGTTCAATAAAAGAGGATATATTAGGCCTACTTCGTGGGTTCTGTGATATCAATGGCTTGTATTGCCGTGCCAAGTTCTTATTAGATAAGCGAACATGATAATAAATTAATGTGAGTATAAAATCGCGTAAATTTGCTATCGTCTTATTAAACAACGCCTTACTGATGGGATAGAGCCCCGACTGGACAATTGGTCTGTTGTGTTGAATTGGCCATTGTATACTTCATATATAAGAATGCCATAATTCCACGTATCTATGACATGTACGTCGAAACTAGTCTCAAATAATAGAGAAAACAGTCATCATATTATTATGGGAATGTTTGTACTGATAAACCCTCGCATTGAAGTTTTCAGTACTCACTCTTTTAACACAGTCCAAGACCCTTTAATTATTTCGGGAGATGCATACTTCTTGGCATCTGGCATTAGACCCCCATAAGTCTACAGGTCCATAATAAGCAGTGTACTTGTTAGCTTAACATTCGGTGCGAGATAATTACTATGCTCGAATATTTGATATTTACATGTATAATAGGAGATTCTTCCTTGATAGAACTCATTAGTTCAAATCCGCCCAGCTTCCATTCTCCGGCTTTATTTGTGAATATTGAAGCTATGCGAACATTGCCATGAATTATCTGGCAATCGTCATTGAGAAATTTCAACACGTTCTGTAATACAAGAAAAGATGTACGATATCAGACGGAAATGACACCTAAATGAAATTGTAAATCAAACAAGTTTTTTCTAAACGACTTACGGCGATCTTGTATAATCCCCACAGTTTTAAGTTATTGTCTATGGATTCGTTTAATTGCGTTTGTAATGGTACAACAGGATCTGTCACGACATAGATGTAATCGTCTGTCTAAAATTCAAATAGAATCAATATTTCATCCCATTATCGTGAATACAACACATTCAACCGACATACCTCAACACCATCAACATATTTCAACAAATCGGGATGTCTAATTGTCCGCATCTTCCTAAACGCGTTCTTAGCTAGCGGAAGCTTATCCCTGTTTCTAGTACAGTCAAACGTGAATATGGACACTGGACTGTCATCTTCCTATGAGAAATAACATGTTAGATGAATAGAACAACTAATTTGTATCAAAGCCGAAAAACCGAAGAGTACCTTTTTAGTGCCAGAGCGCAGCTCCCATATAGAAACACCGTCGTATGAATCTACCTTTGTACCGATATTATAAGGAAAAGCCGGAATGTCTTTTCCTAGAATTGCTCTCGACAGAGTTGATTTCAAGTAATCCATACTGGAATGGGAATGAGCTTGTGACAAGAAACTATTGCAGATATTTTGTAGCGTCACACGGATACGTGTCACAAATCACATTGTGATGTTATAGAAAATATCATATGCCATCGTGTGTGATGAATAATCAATTATTATTACCGTGCCTTTGCGTCATTACGTTCCCTCATTCTCGTGATGGGAAAATGAAAGATGAACTCTTTTCTCCCACACCCAAAGGGATTTCTTTCAACGCTTTGCTCGCTCAAATTTTCTATCACTCAGTCGCATAACTGTATTCACCAACTGAAATGTCTGGAGTCACTGACACAGCTCACGTCCTAGCTGATTTCAGCATTAACCCTATGGGGTGCGAAGTCAGTACAAGCAAGGTACATAATTTTTTTTGTAAAACCCGTCCATTTCGATCGAAGCAGTTTTTTACATGTTATTATGTATTATCTATATTTAGTATCTGAGAGAGGCGATTAAGATTGTCGACGAGTCTGGGTAGCGTATCCGAGTATGAACATGTTACAAGCCGCCATATATCTTGCAATCCTAATGTTGCTCTTTTATCCAGACTTAATTATCATACCCATGCTAGTGGAACTAACATAGGTATGACACCATCATGAAATAATTGCTATCGATGTCTTGTTGCACGTTTTTGATACGCATTACCTCTACATTGTGCAGAGGGCAAGCTCGATGAAGTAATGATTGTTGTTCGAAAGTGTATTGATAAAACCCATAGTATGGGATGCCCTCGTGCCGATACTATTGTCAAGCTTCAGGTGAGATAACAAAGAAGTGTGGGCATGCATGAAGCAGAAATTAGAGCATGCATGAAGCAGAAATTAGAGCATGCATGAAATACAAGTTAGAGCATGCATGAAACACAAATTAGGCACGCGCTTCTTATTTGACGCAAATTCTCTCTTTTAGACTCGTACCGACAAGTCCAAGACCATCCGTGACAGGTAATTGTGATAATGCTTATTCTTTTGCACGCGTCGTAATAAAATATTGACTATCTTGTTTTCATATGTAGCATGAGCATTACTAAATCGAGGATATAAACGCTATTATTTTAAAAGTAGTATTTTGCTAGTTGTGCTGAAGATTGCATTTGCTATTTGTGCTGAAGATTGCAGTAGCTTTGCTAAAGTATTTTAATAAAATGTATAAGATCGGTGTTTATAGTTGACATGAAATTGTAATGGAAACATTTGGTGAACTTGTAAAATTTCTTCTAGACACATGTTATAAATCGGTTATCACAACATGCTACCCAGCAACTACAGTGTAGTGACCAGAAGTTTTGCTTCAACAATACAATGTGTGCGAATACAAAGTTGGTAGGAAAATATTAGATGGTGAACTTTATGATACAGAATATCATATTGTGTTTGAACAGACTATAAACTTAGTACACGGAAAGTGCATTTATTTGCACACATTTACCATTTACTGTATTTCTTGATCTATATATGATTAATAGTGGGTAGGACTACTACTTTGGTTGTCATCCACGGTGTTTCTTCCTTTGAATGCAGACAGTGTTCCTGATGACTCTCAAGTACAAACTTGTAACTTTCAAAATTAGGCGTTTGCGACAAAACAACATTACACCGATTAACATTGTGGCTTGTCTCTTTTGTTTGTGGCGTTATATCAAGAGTTAATTTCACTATAACATCACGTGATACAATATAATAAAATACTATACAGATCAGTAAATATAGGTAATGTCTCACGATTCCCCATTTGTTTCTTCTCAATTTTCGTTGCTTTTTCTCCCTCCTATGTTCGGCGGTCAATCATATTCAATGCCAACTCGCAGACAAGCAAAAAAAAGACCTCCTATAGTGCATCTACCCTATCTAAAAACACATAAATGCAATTGGCTAAGATGCAAATATTACTTTCTGACTCCACAAGAGTTAGTTGGTCATATACAAAACAAGCATTTGGAGAAACTGTTGACTATTAGTGTCTTTACCTGTAAATGGAATAACTGTGAAGAGTTTAAACTATCACAAAATGAACTATTAGGGCATATTAGAGAAACTCATCTGAAATACAGAGGAGTCAGAGGTGAAGGGAGAGGTGAAGAAGATTCAGGGACGAAGGTAAAAGAAATCGTAAAGAATAACAAAGTAATTCGGTACCCATCTTTTTGACGGGATACCCCTCAATATTGACATATATTTCGCACATGTTAATCCTTTCTAGAAAAAATTAAGAAATCTCCAAGTGGAAAACGCAAATCTTCGAACTCGGCTGAAATCAAATGAGAAGAAGATATTTTTACTGAGAAATCAGTACGAGTCAAACAAATCAAACCTCGATGATATTCTCAATGAACTTGCTCGCTGCCGTGAGTCCATCGACATTATCCAGAAGCAGAACCGTGCTTATGATGATTTGGTACGCAGAGAGTGGGCTGAAGAGCAATGTCATAATATAAAGGATGTTTACATGGATGAGCAGACTATGGACAATGTTTTTGAGAGTGAGGCTAGAATAAAAAGAGACTGGGACACGGATGTAGACATGTCCCCCCCGTCATCGGATGTAGATCCGAGTTGTAAAGGAAGTTTTCGATGTTCTTGGAAGAATTGTGGACAGTTATTTATAGATAAGGCATCATTGAAGGCGCATGTACGATGGATACACATAAGCAATTCACAGTTACAGTCTCCCGCTAATCAATAGACACCTTTACAAGAAAATTTTGGATGTAAAATAGATGTATAATCAAATGGACTTTTATATAGATGCACAATTCAATTATCACAACATACATGAGCCTTTTCCTCTCATCAAAATATGTTATGTATCCAATTGGATAACAAATATTGTAGAATAAATAACTAAATATTATATATATACTTACGGATATACGTGTGACTGTCTGCTGAAAATGAAGTATGGTGCGAGTGTGATGTGACTAATTATAATGGAATATGGCGTTTTCCCAAACTGTCAAACAGGATTGGTGTAATTCAGTCAGGATTTTTAACCGTTAGTCATTTTCTTCTCTATACAAAATATAAACATCATATAAATATATAAGAAGAATAAGTTACCCAACTCGGGTCGATTTGATTCACATCAATAGGTTCCTCGACAAGAAATGGGATTATTTCTATCTCGTATTAGCGTTAGAGAAAACTGACTACTTAATTACTATGAGATAACCATCTAATTATAATACCTGAAAAATTCCAATATAAATCAGTATTCTAATATTTTAATTGCAAACATTTGTCAAACTAACTCTTTTTATTATATGAAGAAATCATAAAAAGTATATTTACTGTATACACGTATATGATTATCTACTATAATAACATTTAAATAGCAAACTTCCTACCCTACGCGAATTATACACACTTTTCTCGTATAAACCGCGCAATTCAGGCCTTTTGGTTATATAAAGTAGTCATTATCATTTCAAAAATAGTCCCCATTTTCTTCAAGACACGGAATATATTGGTCCCCATTTTATGTTATTACCGCCGATATTAGATTTCAAAACGCGATTGAATGAGAAGATGAGTTTTTAATTTTTCGTTTGTGACTGTCAAATCATTACATTCGTATAATGACAAAATCACGCACGCACAAAAACAAAATTCGAGAATGAAAATCTATTCCGGCCAGTCGAATATTAGGAACCACGTATCGCCAGTTTTTTTTCCTCTCTATTATTCGTGCTTGGACTACGATTAATGACTAGAATATTATTCTGTAATTATTAATCGCGATATAATTTGCAAATTGAATCTATCCTTGCATTAGCTCTACAATAATCTTCGTTGGAATTTATCTCATATTTTTGCCAGCTTATCTTAATCGTAATTTTGTTTCGTACTTTTATTATCAAAGGAATAACCAGATACTTTTTTGATCCTCTGCTCTGAAGCTGATATTAAACTTGCTGCAAAAGATAAACCGTGCGTCCTGAATCTGGACCACGATACGTAGAAAGTTTAATACGATAAATTCTCTCACACGGAATTAATAAATGGTTCGAATATTCTGTAAACGATAACTATTTTATGGAAACAGATATCATGTCATCATACTACGTGTCGTAGTATTGCACGTGGTCGTATAAATAGTTATTTCTATTTCTTGTCCTGAATTACCTAATCGACGCAGTCGACTAGACAAACACCACCATTTATTTACAACGATTTCAACCTAATGTTCGCAAATTTACACAAAAATATCGAAATAGTTTTAACTCGAAAACTAAGAAATATATATGATCGAGGTAATGCCTTTTTTCGATTTTGCTTTCTTTTTTTCTTTCTTAATTCTACGCCAAAACATGATTTAATTAATTATAACCCACCCGATGAGTTTTGAAGTGCTCTATGTACCAGTTCCTCCATGTTTTCTACCATTCTCTCCACGTCCCATAATTCAAATTCTTTATCGCGTTCTTTCAATCGTGCTTGTTGTTGTTCTAAAGCACGTTGTCGTTGTTGCTGTTCTTTTAATATTCGTTCATTCTCTTTCCGTTCTTGATCCTTCTTCCACTTACTCCAAGCTGGGTAATCTATTAGTGCTTGCATGCAACCCCATTCCTGTATCTTTTGTTTAAGCCATATAAGCGAGACAGGTTTGGTCAAGAAGTCATTGCACCCTGCTGCGAGCGCATTTTCTTTATCTTGTCGTGATGACGATGCTGTCAGGGCAACAATTATAACGGGTGCGCGCATTTCGTAATTTGGAGATGTGGCAGGTGATGAGCACGGAATTGCGTCCAATACGCCTATGTTCTGTAACTGTTCTAACCGACGAATCTCTCTTGTGGCCTGTATCCCATCCATTACTGGAAGTTGAATGTCCATCTACGATGAATCAATGATTAAGTTTAGTACCACTATTGGACTGAAATAATTTTGCTCGGATAAAAAGTTTTGAATATTTCCCATACGTACCAGGACAATATGAAAATTACCATTTCGCCATTTATCAACAGCTTCTTGCCCGTTGTTGGCGGTTTCATATCTTATTTTGAGTTTTTTTAAGAATGTTTTTATAATGTTCTGATTGATTGGATTGTCTATTAAACAGTAAATCAGCTTTAATAACATAGTTACACGGTTATGTTAGTTTATTAATTTACACAGCTGTTAACATACCTTCGACTATCAATACGTTGATAGGAATACTTGCTGGTTCTCTAGGCTTTGGTAGAGGTTTACTTCGGCTCCCCGTCACACCGTTAGACGGTGATTGCAAGACTGGCGAGTTTAACGGTATAGGGGCAGTCTTTGGTCCGCTGACTGATTTAGTAGAACCGCCAGTAACAGGCGATGAAGGCTCTGAAAGTGTCATTCCGGATCCCTGCAGGTTTTCTACCCTAAGCGGTGTTTCTTTCTCCACTCCCTTTACAAACACAGCACCAATCGGCTTAGCATTCTTAGGGATAATTAATACGCCTCCTCCCGGTCCCGTCCTCGGACTTGATGAGCCACTTCCGGGTGATCTTCCGACTGATGGAGTAGAAGTGGACATGGCTGCAGCACTGCTAGAGAAATATGTGTTGGTAGGCTGTTCTGTGCCATCTTTATTATGTTCCGCATCGCTAGTGTATCCTGGATGGCCTGGACTCATTGGCGACGTCGCTATAGGCATAAAGGCAGGATCAACTACAACCTTATTGAGGGCTGTATGTAATGCGGTGAGAAACCGTCGTGGACCAGCTGGTTTAGGAATTACCAGCACTTGAGGTAACGGATATGATCTAGAATCCGTGGGAGAGAAGACTGTTTGGATCATGTCCTTTACCAATTTATAATTCGATAAAGACGTAAAATGTATGATTGCAGTATTGGGTTGTGAAAGGTTTGGAACGTGCATAGGATGTTTAGTTCTTGATAGCCGATTATTGTTCATCGCAGGGCCTGTCCTATGGGATTGTGAGTCTTTCTGTGAAGTTAGCCACTGTCTCAGTGCCTCAACATCATCATCAATAATAATAAATGTTGGTACTTGTGCATTGCGAGCGCGTATTTCATCGACTTTGTCTCCTTTGACAGTTGAACTTAACGCTATGGTATTAGGCACCGATGACGCTGATCTAGAATTTGATCGTGAATCTGACTGCCCTGTTTCTGATCGGGGAGTCTCGAAGTCTTCTTCCCCACCCACAGGATGATGTGAAATGTCAGTTCCCCAGGTAGTCAAACAGCTAGTTAAATGCTTAGCGAAAGGACTCTTGCTAGTTGCATATAGAGCAACTCTTAGCCCACGTAGACGTTGAGAGAACTTGATTAACTCCTCGATAGAAGGTTCACCAGACATGACGGAATATGAATTTCGTTTTCGCGTATCCTCGTCTACTAATGGATAATCGGATGGTGGACCGGCTTCCATCTCTAAACTGATAGAGTAGCGTTTCTTTCTATCGCAAGTCTCTGTTATCAATGTAGCACCCAGGCTGCTCAACATGTTATTAGCTAACGCGATAGCTGGACTAGAACTTGATGTCTCAGTGACTGACGGATTAATTGCGTGGCATATTTCAAACGTACAGTTAAACTTATCGTGTGATCTAATAGGCTTATTTTTCACTGGCAGAAGTTCTCCATAATTTGACGTCTGTACATGAAGACCCAACTCAATAGAGCTTCCGGGCTGTATTTGGTCCATGACACGCTTCAGAATATACATACACGAGTATCTGAGTGCTGATTCATCGCCAATGACGTTAAGATGGTAAAATGCATAATCGACATGATATATTATTAACTCGACTTGCGCAACTGCTGCGCCGCCCGCTGTTGCATCGCCTATATTCTGCACCATCTGACCAATATCAAAACAAGTTCTCACATCCGACAAAGGTATACCAGACGGTGTAGCATAGAGCAGCGCAGATAAACTTTCAATGTGAGTTGATATGTACTCGATAGCCTTGAGTGAGGTATGCACCGCATCAATGGAAGCCGTCGGAACAGGTATCGAACAAGCTGTCAGCTGCTCATGTGAACCAGAAAGAAAGTTTGATGGTGCTAATTGCTCGATCGTTTCCAGTGCCATCTGAGTGTTTTGGCACAACAGTGTGGATGCAGTGTTCAAAAAATCGTGTTTTCTTTCTTTAATAAACTCTATTGTGTCAGAAAATGCACGTCGTGCCTTAGCACGTTCATCGCAGAGAAGAGCTTGCCGCCTAAAATTCTCTCGAGCATATGCGCTTAGTATTTTATCGAGTACCAGAAAACATGGTGCTGCTATACATGTTCCCAGACCAACAAATTGAAAATAATCCATGACCGAGGAGCCATACGGATGAAACTTTTCCATCACTTCTTGATTCTGCAGTATTACATGACCTACACTTGTTACTATTGCTCCCTTTAGGGCTTCATTAATTACTGAGGTTAATTGAGCCACATTCCATAACCGCCGTAATGAATATATCCAGAAGGCCACACTGCCAACAGAAAACAGCACCCAGAACAAGCTGTTACGCACTAAGAAACTACATACGGCGGCATATAGGGAGGCAAGAAGACAAACTACTAATGCTAGCGTGGTGGCCTTCATGAGCACTTCGACTACATCCCCGACTAGTAAATCGAGAGCAGGTATTGTAGGGATGCTTTCATACTCCTCCTTTATTGCTGACAAATGAGAGCGGTCTTTCAAGTTTATGTTCTCCTTAACGGAATTACTCATTACAGTTGTGCTTTTAAAAGACGACTCGTACAAATGCACTTGCTGAAAGTATAACTGGAATATGGATCGGGTTTCGGCATTCATACGTTTATATACTTTCCATAACGCATGTGCTTCGAATTCTAGAACAAATCGTATTTAAGTTAAAAACAGCACGAGGTTTTATGCGTGGGGCGGTGTGACAATGCTCCAGTTAAAGGCAAGCTCAGGTTACACGGTACAACAACGACTAACCTTCGCTATACTAACGCTCTTCCCATAATACCAATCTTCTCTTGAATATAAAAAATAGTTTATTAGATCACAGGAAAAGATTTCCTGGCACAAGTTTTATTATATTGTAAAACCAATGCCACGAAAGATAAAAAAGATGTCTCAATATAATGTTGTACCAGTCGTTTCCGAAGAGGAGTATGAGGTTGAATGCGTGCGAGATAGTCGCATAATAGACGGTGTGGAACAGTTTCTGATCAAATGGGCTGGTATAGAATAGTGTTTCTTTTGTGTTGCAGTCCTTTTATACCCCAAAAATTTCGCGTTTATTTATAAAAACATTTGAATAAACTTTGTGTGAGTAGGTTATGATGAAAGTAGTTGTACTTGGGAGCCACGCTCTAATCTCAACTGTGAGCAAAAACTACAAGATTATTTTGATCGAAAGAATAAAACGTTCGGACAGCATCAAGAAGCCGCAAAAGATTCTAAAAAAACTGTAGAAGCTGGACAAAAGCAAAAGGATTTAGAAGCACAAGGACTAACTAACCAAACTGGCAATACTGGTCATACTTCGCAAGAGCACTATCGAAAATTAACTGCGAATCAGAAAAACAAGCAAAGTCAATCTACACAGTCGAACTCTGTAAATCAAACGAAAGTAAAAGACGCTCCGACCATTACACACGCAGTAAAACCACAGAGACCACCCGTAAAACCTAGTGAACACCTGTTAGCAAATCAAAAAAAAAACGAAAGCACAAAACAAATCCAAAATACTGCCAAAACTATATCTGACAAACCGCCAAAGACGTCAAATATTTTACACAATTCATCGGTATTAATGAAAGACGAGTTTGAAACCGGGATGCGAGGACTGAATCGATTGCAGGGACTAAACAAACAGTCCGGACGAGTCGTTAAGTCTGCCCATGCAAAGAAACGGTCCAAAGACGATATTGGATCACAGAACTCGTATGTTGGTCCAATACATACTAAGAGTTCAATGTCTTTACCTCAAACACCGTATGCACGACCTGATGCTTCAAAGAAAGACGTACAGCCTCCCTCGTGGATGTCGTCTTCGGCATCAGCTGTATCTTTTGGGTCCGCAACATCGTTACCCTCGCCAACGGATACTTCACCGTCGTCCATAACATCAGACAGGGACAAAGTGGAGAAACTAATGGCAATAAAGCCAAAAAAAAAGAAACCAGATCAGTTGACTTCTGAGCCAATGATTCCTCGGAGTTTGACACCAACTGCTCCAAAAGAATGGAAAGGTTTATTATACAAAACCAAGAATGACAAGCTGGTGGGGACCATATCAATAAAACCGCTAAGCGAGCGATGTGACGAAATATTGATGTAAGTAAGATGGAGGTGTTGTCTGTTTGAGGCTGATGGTATGACGATTAAAAGACTTTGTGCTCTATATCCAGGCATGAACTCAGAGATGAAGAGAAGCTTACCCTCGACAATATAGTGGTTCAGAGCTTTGTATTTCACTTGTATAAACAATTTCCACAGGCTTTGTATACGATGCACTCATCACTTCCTCAATACCAACTAGAGCAAACAGTATTACCATTAAAATTCAGCGAGATGGTAAGTTGTCGGGAGCTTATCATTTATTCCAGTTTAAAAGAAGCCATGTTAAGATCTTGATTTATTTGAATAGGTTGGTGTTATTTGGTTGCCTCGTGTTGCTCCGCAGAATGTACTATTTGCGATTCCAACATCAACCCGAGCCTGTGAGGTTCTCCGTGTTGCCCGACCAAATGAACTTTTCATTCTTTTTCGTTTCTCCTTGGTACATGCTCCTCCCCGGCCACAAATATCAGCATTCCAATCAAAAGCTGGTTATTCTCTTGTGCCTCCGGAGGAACTTAAAGATCCCGACAGATTTGATGCCGAGTTGACAGCACAACTACTAGGAAGTATCCCATCAGAATTTGTGGCAGCACTATTCAATAAGGTCTTTACAATAATAGCGCCGGATGAATGTCATTACGAAGTACGAGACATGCAGCTATTTCTGCGCACAATGCGTGGCACGTATAAGCAAGTTAAGGAAACTGATTTGTTTGACGTGGACGTTATATTTGTAAGTCTCTGGCAATACCTTTTGCAAGTATCAATGTATTTACGTCTGTTTGATAGGTTTTTAATCCAAATTCTGCAGATACATCGTGCTATGATGAAGAATTGCGACACTTTACCTGACATTACTGCAGTGAAGAGAAGGAAGAATGTGAAGTTCTTTTTGTTTGCCCATTTTCTTGCAGATGGGCCAAATCCTGGGCTTCCTCGTGAAATATATACATCAGGTTACTATTTATCTGACGTTTAAGATGTATGTCAACCAACAGCTTATAAAAATCAATTCACATGACAGGTGGACTGGTAACTATAACGTCTCAAGCTCTTTTTGATGACAATGTTGATGTTATTAGCAAACTTGTAGAGTTCAGTAGAGCAGTAAGTATATATATATTCACTTTGGCATATATACCTATAGCACTTTGGAGCAAGATACAATCACGTTTTCTAATTTTTAGCAAAAGCTTTCACGCCCATCAGTGGTGTGGAAGATAAGTATACATAAAGATACCATTAATTACTTGGCTAATGTTAAGGATGATCCTTTACATTCAGAACAAAACAGGTTAGTTGAATTATTGACAAAGCTCTTATAACTAACTGTTTGCATTAATCTTTCACTCTTTTTTTTTTTTTGAAAAAATTTTTTAGGGCGCAAGATGTAATGCAGGCAATCAGTTTGAAATTGACAAATCAACAAATTGATGTAATAGAAACTGTCTGCCCACAAAAGGTACATAATCTGAACAACAATTTATTTTCATAATAAAAATCTAACCATGTAATTGCATTATTTAGGTTGATGATTTGACTGTTGATGAAGTATTATATTTGTGTATGCAGCAATTGCATCTCAGCTATTACAGTGAATACAGATATTTTATTGTGATTGATGTTAAAAAAGATATAAAATTACGTATTCCAGGGGTTTGTATCCTTTTGTGTATATTATTTGTTCTATTATTGTAAGATCTGTATCTAAGCTTTATATGTGTGTGCAATATCTGCAAGCATATTTTATAACTTCCATATGGAAGAAGATGGAATCTGGTTCAGAAATTCATATATTATAGGAGCAGTTCTTCTTTACTAATCATAGTAAATTTTGGATTAATTTTGTAGGTGGAACCTCTAACTTACCAGGAGTTCAGACATAGGTTTATTTTGGACAATTAGTCAACAAAAAATCTATTGATCAGTTAAGATTCAGTTCATAATTGCAGAGATTAACAAATGGTGTAACTTGCTTCAAATGCAAATGCAACATTGCTCTATACTTCAATGATTCTACATAATTTAATTTTGATAGTACTAATGTTGCAATAAGTCATTCCATTTGAATGTGATAATTATTATTGAATGAGACTGAGAAACACTGTTTGACAAAAATCACATGATATTTTATTCATTGTGCTTTTTGTAAATAATTAATATATATATAAGATATGCAAAAAATCAGACAAAAGAACACAATACTAAATACTACAAGGATTTTTTAAGTTCAAACTGCTGGAATTCACTTTTTTTGTCATATTTTTATTTTTGTCATGTCAATTAATAATTAATTACTACTTATACTGCTACTACTTCCTACTTTAATTTAAAGCACAGAAAGAGGAAGCCAACATCAAGTGGGCATGCTGCAACAAAACCAGAAAAAGTGAACATTTGACTATGTGAGCTAAAAATGACTGATGGAGTTGCATACACTACAATATATATAATTGGTTGAATGAGATGGACTTTATCACTTTCATATAACTTTCCACACATTGTAATACACCTTATCTTGCGCCAACAAAATCTCGTCGACACAAAAAAACTCCCGATGGTTACACAATTTTCCAAGCTGGTAGTGGTCTGAAACTTTTTCAGCTCTGCAACCGCTGCAACCGCTGCTGGCTCTGACTGTGGACAAAGCTAACACCCAACTTAGGACAGATCCAACTCCACTACCAGAACACGAAGCTTCCGAGGATTATAAACACTGTTTGTAATGAGAAAAACTGGCATTGATCGAGCCATTGCAGCATTAAAGGGCTTACTTGTTGCTTTTCCTGGATTAGCTAAATTTGCTATTCTAATTGCTGTTGTCATTGCAGTCTCAAACACACTATGTAATGGTATTGAAGAGGTTCGAAACAGGATAACTAGGTGGAGCGACCTGGACTGGAAAAATAGGAATCAACATTTACTAATGCTCGGGCACATATGCAACCTCTTAACAGACCCACCAGAACATTTGACGACTATCTACAAGAATCTATACAAGAATCTATACAAAACCTTTGAGAGAGAAAGCGCACAACTGGGCCGCGCCCGCAGAATCGAACAGAAATTGGCTTCACTGAGAAAAGCACGAGCAGAAATACCAGCTCCAGCCTTCTTTTCATCGATATTGAAACATGACTAAGGACCGTTTCGATCGTAACTACACTATCTGGAAGTAACAAAGAGACATTGTAACAGGTTTTTAATCGAGTCGTTGATATAATATCTGGCATTCGACGGAAAGATCGCGCGTGTTTGTTTGGGACTTGCGTTTTTTGTGGCCGTACTTAGAAACCTATAGAATATGTCGTAGATAATAGTATCATATAGAATATCATATTACATTACAAATAGGCAAGTTATTATGACTAGATGCTAACCCCCTGCATAGACTAGATAATACCTCCCGCAAAAGAGGAGGGGTACCTATACATCCTGTAGAATATGTGTCCGTAGATAATCGTATTCTATATATATTTCTGATAAGCATCCTATAGAATATGGCGCCCTGTAGGTAACAGTATCCTATAGACTATAAATGGCTGGTCCTGTAGAAATCGGATTCTAATTCTACAGGATGTTTCTCATCTACTCGTACACGTTTATGAGCCAGGCAATTCTAACCAGTACGAATTATATGGTATGTATAATCAGCGTTGATGCTCCAGTGGCATGCATGCAGTACATTCCGTGTAACGGCTCCAAAAGGCATTACAGCATGCAGTATTACATTCCTCAGGCTCCCACTTGTATATTTATTATAGTTACTTCTTCCAATTTAATAAAAAAATAGTTCCCTCCTCTCTTTCAGCGTTCTCTATGGACACCATCCTTGACAATATCGGAAGCTTAGTATTAGTACCAGCCATTGAATTGGCTGCTTCAGGATTGATTAGTGGCTTGGATTTTTTTTTTTTTGCACGCCTGAGGGATGTGGATGTGGTACTGCATAGTTAGTGTCAGCCCACTGCATTAGTCATGTGACTTTCCCCTTATTATTGAACGATGATAACGATAATAAACTCAGCTTATCGACATGAACGTAAGTCAACTCTTAAACGATGATAAAACTCATGATGAACTGATAGAACTAGAACTAGGTGAAACCGACGCTACTTGTTGGGAACAAACTTTGCAAACGCTGCAACCGCTGCTGGCGACACTGAACCCCACGAATTCCAACTCTGACTGTTGGACAAACTTAATTACCCAACTTGAAAGACTGAACACCGAGAACGAACAAAAAACTTTTTTATTGCAATCAATATGCAATTGTATTGAGGAGGTTCGAAACAGGATATTAACTAGGTGGAGCGACCTGGACTGGAAAAATAGGAATCAACATTTATTAATGCTCGGACACATATGCAACCTCTTAACAGACCCACCAGAACATTTGACGACTATCTACAGGAATCTATACAAAACCTTTGAGAGAGAAAGCGCACAACTTTTATGTGGGCCGCTCGCCGGTATGAAAAATAATTTTCTGAAAAATAATTTTCAACGCCTCGATATCGAAAAGTTATATGTAGAGATTAAGCCTCGTAACATGGAAATTGCGTCAGTGCGAAAAATCTACACAGCTGCCCAGCGCGCACTTATGGTAGCAAACATTATGACTTATGACAGGTTTGAACGAAATAAGTTACATCTAGACAGACTTAAAAATTTCAGTAGGGGGACTTGGGAGCGTTTTATTTATTTTTTTGCTAAAGTTAGAGTTGAAAATAACACGAATGTAGTTTGTGTTACAAAGCGCTGGACATATGACTTAACGACATTTGAGGCTAAGATAATAAATAAATAATTTGTTGTATTTGAACTCCATATCGTATGTTACGTTGCGTCGCGTCGACATCATCAAGAAATTTGACTATTCCAGAGTTGGATGCTATTCCGAGTTCTGTTATACAAGAAATAATTAAAAAGAAGCAAGTAGATAGTTTACGCTAGAGATGGGTTTCATTTATTGACGTCAGCGATGTCTGCCACACAGAAAGATACTTAAAAAAGTATCAACAAAATGCCATGTATAAGAAACGTCATCGAATTCCATTGTTAAATCACAAGAACGACATACTAATTACGTAGAATATACTAGTGTTCAATAATAGTCGTGTAATTTCAATATAAAAAAAACCTTATGACAAAGACATCAATATCTAATCCACGTCATCGTTTCAATTTGTTGACATAGTAGCGATTTTTCTTTCGATATCGTCAATAACTGATTTGTTGGCCTATAAATAAAAATTGCGTGAGACAAAGCTCAACAAGTGACTAAGGCAAAGCCCTGAACGCATTCGGGCCAAAAAGTCCAACTATTCATTGAGCTCACAGTAGCCAGACGCATCAGGCCGAATGTTTGAACGCAACAAACTCGAAAGCGAACCCAACAAATTAAGACTCCCAACACATCAACATCCGAATCCACTTGCCTTATAACTTCGGTTTTTTTCGATATCATTTTTGTTGGCCTATAAATAACAATTGCGTGAGACAAAGCTCAACAAGTGACTAAGGCATTTGAGTGCAAAGCCTGAACGCATTCGGGCCAAAAAGTCCAACTAATTGAGCTCACAGCAGCCAGACGCATCAGGCCGATGTTTGAACGCAACAAACTTGAAAGCGAACCCAACATTAAGACTCCCAACACATCAAGACCCGAATCACTTGCCTTAAAAGAAGCTAGAATCAAATACGGTTCTCAATCTAATATATATAGTGTGTGTTAGTTATGACCCCAGATACGTATAACATTTAATGTAATAAGTGACTTACGGTTGAAAAGGAAATGTGTAATATACATCTGTAAATAGTCACGTGTTAATATAGACATCGTTTATACGTCTTATAACATAACAACAACAACGTACTTACAACTTTGTCGAAACTTATCTAAGGAGAAGAATGTAATTATATCACCGTCAGCCAACGTCAAATTGGCATTGGTTGGGAGCGTTACTGCTGTCGAAGTTCTTGCTGAAATTTCTGAAGTTCTTGCTGCGCTACTTATTACTTCAACTTTCGCATCCCCACTTATGCGCTCGATGTTGCATCTCTGTATAAATAACTTATTAGTCTCGGGTCTCTCATTTTCGATATACAAATTAATTCAAATTTCAAGACCTTTTCCGCCTTATGAAACTTAAATTTTGTCTCAAACATCTCGATCAAAGTGACGTCATCTTTTAGCAAAATACTCAATTCATCAGCCGTTCTTGAAGCCAGTTTAGCCCACGGTTGTACCTAAGTTGTAGTTATAAATTAACCTTTATCTATTATATTATAATTATTACAGCTACTACCTGTGTTTGCCGCCGCTGTAACTGTGTTTGTTCTTGCGGCTGTATCAGTGCTTGCTGATGAAGTTGTTCTTGCCGCTGTTCCTGTGCTTGCTCCAATTGCTGTAACCGCTGTTGAAATTGTTCTTGCTGCTGTCGAAGTTCTTCAAATTTCTGTTCTTGCTGTCGAAGTTCTTGCTGAAATTCCTGTCGAAGTTCTTGCTGAAATTCCTGCTGTTGTTCTTTTTGCTGCTGTCGAAGTTCTTGCTGAAATTTCTGAAATTCCTGCTGTTGAAGTTCTTTTTGCTGCTGTTCATGTTTTTGTGCCCAAAACTTGTTTATATCTTTCCAATCGAATATATTTTTTGTCTTTTTGTTTAGTGATGTTAAATAATAGTAAGTTAAATATGTAAGTACAAAAATAAGACGACAATAAAAATTGTACTTGCTTTCAAAATAGCTAGCGCTTTACGTTTTTGCGAACGAGTCTTGCCATTGCGGCTGATAATATAAAGACAAGCTACCCATTGCCGATGGGATTTAACTTTTGGGGTCAAAGAATTATTTATGTCAAGATATTCTAAAAAATTGGAGCATTTCCATTTAGTAAAGTTTGTAAAATATTTTGTTTCAATTTCGTTCAGACTTTGCTCGGGTTTTCTGGATTTCGTCATAATAGTAAGTTTTAGTTTTGTTTCGGAAGAACAGGTTACGAGACTATTTATTAATATTGGGAGGCTAACTTTATTATGCAGTTAATCAAAAACATATTTAACTGGAATGTTTCAAGAGCTTTGAAGCAGTTACACCGCATCGATTCTCAATTGCCGAAGAACCCCTAATGGAAGAATGCCTGAGGGATGTAGCACTGCAATAAAGTTTCATTATGTATTACCCTACTAATACGGAAAGTGCTGCAGCATGTGCCACGTGAAATCTAAAAGGCATAAGGAATGTAACACTGCAATAAAGCGCTTATCAGCAGTTTCCGCTTTAGTTATAAACTCTTTGCTATCCAAGCAGTTATAGTCAACTGCCTATAATTCGACCGCTTGGGTTCCGAGGTCATCGATCGAATTAACGTACAAGTCATTATCGTCAGTTAATTACAATAGAAATAACGTATAAATAAGGTCATTCTAATACAGTGATTTAGATAGGGTGTTATTGCTCATGGGAAAAAAGCATGTGCCACAGGAAGAATACTAAACTAATTTATATTCTCAAATATCTTGGCGCAAGATAAGGCTAGCTTTTTGGAGCCAAGTTATTCCGTAAGATTGGGAATGCCTGAGGAATGTAATACTGTAATTGACTAGCCAAGTTATTCCGTTACGCGGAATGCCTGAGGAATGTAGTACTGCATACTACTGTAATTAGATAAGGAAGACATTTCTAAATTTATCCCGATATTTGAATGAGTGTATCAACATGTCATCGTGCGAGTTATGGAAAGTGATAATCAATTTAACTCATTAGAAATGCTGTTGCCGGTATATATTAAGAGTAAAACTTGTGCAACTGCTTTGCTAACATCCGAAGCAGTTACACGCATCGATGCAATTAGGAAACACGTAAAAGTGCTTATCTACATTTCCTAAATAAAGAAATCTCAATAACTTTATTAATTTAACTTAAAATATAGTTTAACAACTCCGTACAACCCTTGAAAAAACCTTTTAGCTTAATAATTAAGTTAATAATTATTTCCACCCAGCACCATATTTCATTTGAAAAATTACATGTAATTGAAAGCAATCAGAAAAATACGTTAATCTGTCACACTACATGGGCACATATCCCCCGATTAGAAACACAGCAGGAGCATGTTTATAGGTGATGGTAATGGTAACCTCCGAGCGTACCGTGAATTTGTTCATATGGGTAATTCTGCGAGCGGCGAACGCTGCGTGAAAAAAAGTCGTAAATAGGTGTTTGTCTTAGCGATAGCGGCAAAGACAGATTGTTACCTCCAAATAATTACAACTATAAGTAATTCAATTATTATTACAATACACAGCAAAATATTGTGGTATAAAAAGTTTAGTTGAGAATCTTGCCCCAGATTTTGGTTCTCGCTCTCTGTTTCGCTCTCTGTTTCGCTCTCTGTTTCGCTCTCTGTTTCGCTCTCTGTTTCGCTCTCTGTTTCGCTCTCTGTTTCGTTCTCTTCCTCTGCTTCGCTCTTTGCTGCTAGCCCCCATACTAAGAATTCACCTCTCCTCACAGCATCGACTTTTTTTTTTGTTAATCTTATTTTCTTAAAATCTAGAATAATGTCTGTTGACATAATTATTGTTCTGAATTGTGAGTGTCGGCAGTAAATTTTCCAATAGTCTTTATTTATTGCGGATGACAATTCTTTATCTTTGTGTGTACGTAGTACGATAGTTAAGATTATTCTGAGTGTCTTATTTTGTACCACAACAATTTTTTAACGTGTAATACGCTTGCTATGCGCAACCGGCTAATAAAACATGTATATTTGGTGTTTATGAATACAAATAATCACATAATAGGAATATATATATTATAATGCATCTTTATATAATAACATCTAGAAACAATATGAATATAAAACATATAAAACTGTATAAAATATCAATATTTACGTTTGTTATATTTGTACACGTCACGCTACATCCCTCAGGCATGTCTTAGTACAGTACTAATATAGAAAAGTACTGATAAATAAGGAATGTGGAACAAACTGGGCATTCTTAATATGGAAAAGTGCTGATAATAAATCTGTAGTGCTACATTCCGCATATTCGGGCATTCCTTAAATTAACTCGTTTCTGATGGGGCAAAAAAATTTTTTTTTGCTAGACGGGTGTAACATCTGCCCCTGTGCGTGTGCGAATGTCTCAATGTAATACTGGCTGCTCCTCGGGCTGCTCCTCGGGAGATACTGGCTGCGGGCCTTCTTCGAAGAAACGTTGAAATTCTTTTACCGAAACGTTTTCGTTGAAAATCTCCGAAAGCGTGTGAAGTATTATAGAAATTCGCGTTGGCGCTTCTACTTTATCCGGAACACTGCGAGGATGGTGTCTATAGATTATCGGTTTTATTTTTGATGAACCATCGTGGTACAGCACAAGTTGAGGTATAGTCGATGGTGTGTTCATTGTCGATTGCTAAGTTGCTTTTTAGCTCAAAAGGAAGTCTTCCTCAGACGTATTTATGTTCCTGAAGCTGTTACACAGCAGTTACACTGCATTGATGATGGTCGATTAGTTTGCTGCTGATGGAGAAGATAATAGATTGATTAATAATTGCTGCTCTATGACATATTGTGTAACTGCTTTAGCATATGTTGAGATCAGTCTTGCTATCCTTATCAATGCAGTGTAACTGCTTTGAATGTTACCAAAGCAGGCACTTTTACTCGTTGGAATCAAATGCGGCAAGGCTTTTGTGGCTAGAAGCGATTTGCGTTACGGAATAAGAATTCGCTTCAACGAAAATGTTCCTCCGAAACAGAAAATATAAAGTCAACGGTACCATTGTGAAGTATACATAGACGGCAACTGGGTCAGTTCGGACGGCGAGGACAGCAACAACAACATCAACAACAAACAACAACAAGAACAGCAACACTCTCGTTACTTCAAGGCATGTCCGACAGAATAAACCTTTAAGATAAATTGCTAAACTGTTGTTATATTGATTGTATATAGAATTTAAACAGATTGATCGTTATAAGAATGTAAACTAAACCTTTAAATATAAATTGCTAAACCTTTTAAATATAAATTTGTTGTGTGCTGTCTGCTCGTCTGTAAATTGTGAAAATACAAAACTGTTGTTGGTATCTTAAACAGATTGATCGTTATATAGAATGTAAACATGAGAATACTAAATCTTTAAATATAAATTGCTAAACCTTTTAAATATAAATTCGTTGTGTGCTGCCCGGTATAGGGTCCGGTATAGGTAACCTGTCTCCTTGGAAGTCAACTATGTTCAGTAAATGAGTTAAGTCCGGTAAACTGTTTCCGTGGAAGTCAGCTAAGCTCCGTTCAAATTTTATAATTTTTTGGTTCTTAGTTTGAATGACTGTACAAAAGTTTGCTCCAGTCTTCAGCAAACGTACAGTTAAATAGTCAATTACAAGAAGTAGTTCTTCCAGCGAATGAATGGTTGGTAGCAGGAGCACTACGTTGTTTCCGTAAGTTTCCGTTGGATATATGGTAATTGATGCAGTAGTTAAACAGCTTTGAGACTGGATCAACTTCTTCAATGCAGTTATTTCAGTTTCACCAAAGTCACGATTATGGTCATTATTGGATAATGTTGCTGTCAACATAGTAATGCGATGACAAACCATGGAGAGTTCATCAAGAACTTTGACCATTCCAGAGTTGGATGCTATTCCGAGTTCCGTTATACAAGAAATAAGTGTTGGAAATTTAAAAAGAAGCGAGTAGATAACTTCATTGATTTTTAGATCCCACGCATATATTCTCAAAGATATTAACTTAACCCGCGTGCTTAACGTCTTCAGGATAGGTTCTGTCAGTTCCAGGATACGTGCTGTCAAATAGTTGTCCCGCTTACCGAGTGGCATTTTGATAAATTCGTAGTCATTTTTTACAATATCGTCCTCTATTGATTGTATTAACCACGAGTAATGAAGAACTTTCAGGTAACTGGCGTACGGAAGCAGAAGCGGTTTTGAAGTCTCAGTAGTAAGCTGACAATCCGAAATCTTAGTAGTAAGCTGACAATCCAATGAGCGGACAAACACGTTGAATGGCAGCGGCAGTTTAATTTGACAAGTGGGGTCCGACCAGATAAGAGGAGCTGCTATTGTGAACCAAAACCGAGTAACTTTCAGACAGGCCCGTAATTCACTTAATTCTATTTTCAACAGTATCTCGCGGAGAATAAAAGCTGAATTAAGGGGATGAACAGCTTCCATTTTGTGATTCAGCAACTGGGGGGGGGGGGGGGGGAACTCATCTATTTCTGAAAAAAAATTTTTTTGCACGTTGCGCTATTACGCGGAATAACTTGGCTCCAAAAGGCTATAGCCTTATATTAAGTATAGAATGGTTGGGAATCTGAATTTTTTTCCGCCCGAAGCACGAGGATGGAAATTATTTTTTCCCATACACAAATAAGGTATCGTGACGCGACTGAAATTTTTTGTCTCCTTAATACAATCTGGAAGTTTCATCTATAATTCTACCTCTTACAAGCATGCGTTCATGGTCCAACTGTTTCAACACAATGGTCAATGTAAATAATAACAGCCCGATTTTTTTTATTTTCTAAATTTGGGTTTAGATAGCGATGCGTTATTTGTATAGTAAAACAATTGTGTGATTATGCAATAATCGAGCTACAGCTTATTACTTTAAAATCAATGTTACATACACGCAAAATGTAAATTGACTAATCGTTATAACTTCGAACATTTTTTATGTGGGCACAGATCCCACATAATCTGGGTGTCCAAAACCTCGCCCTCCATTTAGTACCTCAGCGAAGAAATTCCAGAGAATGTTTGTAGGTAATTGTAGTAATTGTAATAGTGATGAATCAGTTCCAAACGTACCGTGAACTGCTGGTTCATAGGGGTATAGGTGGTAACTGTATTGCAAGCGTCGCATTCTGAAAAGATGTAAATAGTGTTTGTCTCAGTGATGTTGCGGAATTGACGCAAAACACAGTTGTTACCTCCAAATAATAAGTAGCTCAACTAGAGCAATTAGCAATAGCAGACTCTGATTTTTTTAAAGTTCAGTCTTGCATGCTCAGCGTGTTGAAAAGAGGCTACCATTGTACTTATAACTAATAACACACGTAAAAATGCACTATATATACTTATAGAGGAGATATTTCTAATTGGAGTTAATGCACTAATTACTAATACAAGGGGTTGAACTTCCATAGAGACAATCTACTAATACTAATACGGAAACTGCTTATTGTAGTGTTACATCCCTCAGGCATTCCTTATGCTTTTGTAATACGGGGAACTTCCATAGAGACAATCGTTTTACCACTAATAATACTAAGAAACTGCTTATTGTAGTGTTACATCCCTCGGCATTCCTTATGCTTTTGTAATACAAGGGGAACTTCCTAGAGACAATCGTTTTACCAATACTAATAATACTAATACGGAAACGCTTTATTGCAGTGTTACATCCCTCAGGCATTCTTTATGCCTTTTTACATACGAGGAGTGACAAACTACTAACGGACAAACCGTATGTAAATATCGTTGAACAAACTGTATGCGCATAATGATCTAGTATGGCGTTAACGGAGCCAAGTTATTCCGAATGGAACTTACATGTTTTTATGCAACGAATACCACATCATCTTAGCACTTTCCGTATTAGTATGGTAATATAACGAAAACTTTTATTGCGTGTGCTACATCCCTCAGGCATCTAAGGGATCGTCATAACGAAACTTTTATTGCAGTGCTACATCCCTCAGGCATTATTCCGACTAATACAGAAACTGCTGATAAGCGCTTTATTGCAGTCCCTCAGGCATTCCTTATGCCTTTTTAGATACAAGGAGTGACAAACTACTAACGGACAAACCGTATGTAAATATCGTTGAACAAACTGCGTTAACGGAGCCAAGTTATTCCGAATGGAACTTACATGTTTTTATGCAACGAATGTAGTACCACATCATCTTATCAGCACTTTCCGTATTAGTATGGTAATATAACGAAAACTTTTATTGCGTGTGCTACATCCCTCAGGCATCGTCATAACGAAACTTTTATTGCAGCTATCATGCATTCTTCCTATTGTAATTTCATAATTTAATATCACAGTGCATGTGTTCCTATATAATAAACCCTGCTTTAAGCATTAACAAAAACGATGGAAGTGAATATGTGGTCGAGATTAATAAATGGTTTCACAGAGTGGCTGAGAAATACTCTGGAAGACTATGAAGGGATTGAATGGGATGATTTGGCATTGAAAATGAGGTGAGTGGAGGAAGGGCGAATCGATAACAGAGATATTTTACTAACTGACTGTACTTGTGTTAAGTTGGATAACAGCTGGCATGTTGAATGGCGCTTTTATCGCAATAAAATTCGCAGGTCAAACCGGAATGGGGAAATTCGATAATGGTTTGGTAGGTAAAAATGACTGTTTAGTTTAGTTGGAACCCCGTTTGTGATGAAATTCCACTGCTAGTTATGGTTTACAGAAATTGGACTCATAGCAATAAGCTGCATCAATACTCTTGCTCTATTTATGGCAAGGAAGACATATCGAATGTTTAATCACGACAAACGTGTGAGTACCAAGCTTGGTTCGTATGCAATATGCGATTCTCGATAGCTGATCTGTTTTTAATCAGTCTCGGCCAATATCTCAAAACGTTCGACTTGTCGATAAGAATCAAGTAGTCCAATGGACTTGCACTGGACTAGGAGCTTGCCTGTAAGAAATCATTTGTATCACAACACTTGTTTTTACGATTGACTTAATTAACGAAATACAGAGCATTAGCCGTGCAATACGTTTTCAAATCAGCGAAACAAAGCGAAGAGGATCTCGTATGGGAAGTAAGCATGTGGAACCCGTCTTTCTTCACCCTGAATCTATTTATGTAATGATTATTATGCTAATTAATTCTTGAATTATGAGATTGAGATAATTGCTTACTTACTCATGTAACAGATTTTTCTCTCCAGCGCAAGCTCTTGTTCTCCATGGGATAAACAAAGATAATTATCATTACCATTTGGTGGTGGCGGCAATAGTATGTATGCAGGTAATAATATCATACCATGAAAATGCAATTGACTTTCACAGCGATATATTGATTCTTATCATTTTTCGCAGATGTACGTCTTAATTAACACGTATACTAACCATCTTCAAGACAAACAAATGGTTTTTGGGGAAATGTCATACGAATACAATCACAAATTTGTATATCCACGGATAGTCAAGCTTAATTTCTCGCGTGGATGTCAGACCTACACGTAATATTATACTTAATGCGGTTGGCTATTTGATTTAATGACACATGCATTATCCAATATTAAAACAAGTTATACTAACGGCGAAACCGATATTACATAAGTGAAGGCGAAAATGACAAAATCACGTACTATATTAAAGTTTAGATCTGCGTTGCAAATTTGCCGCTTGTATTGCTGATGGAGAAGATAACACTATCTTGCAAGAACTTGATCCAAATCCAATAGATTCTGTCGGAGTCGATCCAATTCATCAGTCTTAAAATGACAAAATCACGTACTATATCAAATAAAGTTTTAGATCTGCGTTGCAAATTTGCCGCTTGTATTGCTGATGGAGAAGATAACACTATCTTGCAAGAACTTGATCCAAATCCAATAAATTCTGTCGGAGTCGATCCAATTCATCAGTCTTTGATATCATCCCCTCGAAATTTCTGCATCGAATTTTGAATACCAGCACATGCTCTAGCGTCGTCTTTCGATTGCTTAATACTCTCTGTTTCGCGATCTTCCTCGTCCTCGTTTTGGCAAGAGAAAATCTCTTTTGGAATGTTTATTAAAGAATCTATCCGCGCTCAAAATTATCAAATTACGCATGTTGCAACAATTGAAGTTATCTCTAAAAAACACACGCCTTTTGGACCAAGCATCGTTTCTTACAAGCATGCGTTTATTTCTTTTTCTGAGGCAACACAATGGTCTATGGTACCACAACCCTCGCCTTGTTGCGTAAATATACACTGTAATATAACCATTAATAGTAATATCGGGAACGTAGCACCATAAGATGTGGGTACCTTTGGATATTTGGAATACAAAAATCAATATATCTGAGTAAGGTTATATTTACAGGCTTTATTAGTTGCAACCCAAGAGCTATATCGTATGTTTATACATTATGTCAACGCTCCAATATCTCAATGATTCCGCTAAGGATTCAGCTAAGGAAAACACTAAACAATCACTGTCGGAGGAACTGCAACAAGAAATAGAAGACGCCGAATATCGTGTGCAGCACACGGAAGAGAAAGAGGAAGAGCGGTATACTAACCTACGAGGTCACATTGAGTCAGCTAAGGAAAACGCTGCAAATGATTACGATAGTCTCAAAAAATTGTATTCATCACTGGAGAAGGAACTTAAGGTGCTGCAACAAGAAATAGAAGACGTCGAACAACGATATCTAGGCGGCAAGAATTCGGACCGACTGGTTCTAGCAATGGTACCTTTTCCGTCAGCAATCCAAGCAGCTCGAATGAACACAACTAAGAATGTACATCGTAATTAGCCACTTTAGTTAGTCATGTGCCAATAATTTGATATCTGCATTGATAAGACGTGTAACTGGAATGTTCTATTAAGAGTAAAACTTCGATAGAATACGGTCTCTTACACGAAAATTATTTGGGAGAAATATATTAAGAGTAAAACTTGTGCATCGTACAAAAAAAATTTTTTTTTGCTTATCAGATACCCCCTTTTCCATATTAAGACATGCCTGAGATCAAAATTTTTTCCACATTCCTTATTTATCGGCACTTTTCCATATTAGTACTGAGACATGCCTGAGGGAGCCGAACTCGTGGCTATGCCTGAGGGATGTAGTACGGATGGACTATTTTTGGAAATTATTGGGCCCCATAAAAATTATTCTGTTCCACGGCAATAAGTCAAAGATGCGTCAACATCAACTGACACAAACGCACGAAACTGTTTTTTTGAAACACAGACCTCATCGCCATAATATACGAAATTACATTCAGTTGAAGCGCTAGAATAGTAAAAGACAAAGAGCTACAAACAGGCATACAAAAAGCGTTGGAATCAAAATGCTGTTTTTTAGATTTTGCGCCCTTTCGTGTAACTGGTTTAGAATTAGTATCTACCACGTGTCCTTTTCTTTCAAATAACGCCTCGCGTGAATTTGCTGATCGTGAGAGACCGAGATCGCATAAAGTAACAAATATAAAAAGACTTGATCATTATTCACTTTCATTATATCTTATTCCAATATGAATCAGGATTTGTTTATTAAAATTTTTGAATTTCTGCAATGTGCCCAACAAGAACTTCTTACCGCCGACGCGGTTATCTATCAGGCGTTTGAGGAAAATTCTCGGATTTCGCAAGATGATTTGAGAACGATTGTAAATCGTGCCATAGCTTCAGTTGAAGGTCTTTATGCTACTGGCTCGCCAAGATTGACAAAATTGTTGGCTATTTCGACTCAGGTTTGTGTGTGTGTGTGTGTGTGGCTAATTTATTTTCTTCCAGTGCACTAAACGTAAATTTGTTTCAATTAGTTTGATAGTGCCTATAAAGGTGTCTGTAGTTTGCGCGATCTCGGCGCTTTAAACATAAATCTGGACGATCATCCTGGTCAAATTGAAGACATTGCAAAAAATGTAAACGACTTAAAGAGAAATATTGGTAAAGGCAGGCCGAAGAAGCTTTATGAATTATTGTACAATTTTATCAACAATTTGCGCGTCTCCAACTTGACTTGGGATAATCCGTTGTCCAGTAAAGTCATCAGTGATGAGATAATACAAAATGAGATAATACAAAAGCTAGATGAGGATAATCGAGTCGATTTTTTGAAGCCCGTGAGTGACAGGGTGCCCAAATTTCTCCCGGCGAACGTCGAAGCTGTGTGTAAACAATTTGTGGATAATTTCGTTCCGGAAAATGCAGATGTATCATACGAAAAGTATTCACATGATGGAACGTGGAAAGAAGGGGGCAGAACTATGAAGAGTACTACAAGGGGAATTCTGAGAGTATTGTAAGTAATTAGTGATGTGTCGTTCCATGTCTATATATTTTTAATATACTTTTATATACTTTTATTAGGAAAAAGTGCTGGAACAACCCTGTCTTAAAAGAAAATGTGAACGAGGGCACGTATGTCAATACTGTAATAATGCCGGTGATTCAGGCTGCGCTGAAGGACATGCCGTTGTTAATCAGTTGCAGCGAACGGCAAAGTCATGCCAGCGCCGATAGAAAAGGCGATATTGGAAGAAAACCAGACATTATGGTTGAAGTTGAGCGGAATGCCCAAATGTATGAAATTCTATATGCGGAATGTTCCCGCATGTTTTCGCCACCAAGAAAAAAACTGGACGATCAAGTAAAGTTGTGGCGAGTAATGAATGATGGGATGTATTGGCTTCGTAAGTTCTGCAAGCCAGAAAAGGGGCAATTTGGCATCTTGGGGGTGCAGGTGTTCAGAAAAATGTTTCGCGTAAACGTTCTTATTCGAGATGAGTATGATATTCACTTTCATTACCGTCTTATTGAATCTGAGATTCCTGTTCGGCAGTCAGATGTTAAGACCGTGACAGAATTTGTTCGAACATTAACGTTATTATACTTTTGTTGCCGTACATATCAAACTCATGTGATCATCCGAAACTTCACCGACGTCTAACAACG